AGTCACTTAGTGAAAAATTTTAAGCAAATACACTAGGTTGAAAATACTTTAACACCACGCTAGAATCACTTCTATAATCTGCGCGAATACCACTTTCATCTAGTTTTCACAACAGGCCACGTTCGATATATCAAAATTGGCTCCGAGTATATCAAACGTGATCTATTCCACCAGCTGTTTAAATCAGACTTAAACTCGATCAGACACAGTGCTTTCGTTCACATGGCCAGCAGCCATGCAAATTTTAATGGAACAAAAGAAAGTGTTTACATACGAAAGGAGTTCAACTCCCACAGGATTGGTTTGGTACACCAACATGGTCACCGTGACGTCGTGTGAAAACAGATACGAATGTAAACCAGGGTTTAAAAGGAAATGTAGCAATACAAAGTTGTGCAGTTCGGTCAACTGGAAAATCTCCGCTATCTGCCGTGTGTTTGTTAATAGAAGCAACGAGCCGACTTCGACACAGGTTTTGCAAATATTTTTAGAAGCAATGTTGGTTTAGCGCTAATTAGTGTTCAATACAAATGTTTAGTCATGCAAAACTAAAGATAATGCGAGAGGTGTTGTGGGAAACTCAATTCCTTGACTTTCTAACTGATACAAAGATTTTATGAAGATACACGATCACTGCTTTTTATGGTGAAGATAGCTTCGCAAATTTGTTTGCCCGGTCAGTAAACCAGTAACTGAAATGAAATCGACAGTTGATTCTGGCTATTCATTCAAGTCTACGTTGACCAATCATTTTAAGTGTGATGTTAGATTAAGAGATTTTAGATTTAGTGATCTTAATTGACACAGATGCTAAACGTTGCGTTTATCGAGATTGGCTATCAAACAATGAAACATCAATCAAGCCAGCAAATGAATGGATTAAGAGTAAACATACACCATTTGATTAAACAAGGAGGAGACGGTAAAAATTTAGGCTTGTAAATACGCCGTAAAATGTCCTTTAGCTAAAATATGAATAATAATTAATAATTTCAATGATACAGGAGGTTGCAGGGATTATTTGCATGGGAAATGTACACATGATGTGATGAAACGAGAAGGCGATACTCTTTCTACCAATTGGCCAAAAACAACATTCGTTCTGCGAAAAACGGCAATCGGTGTTTACCTTAAAAGAAGCAAACACTTTTGAAATGATTAGTCAACCCAAATTTGTTTAAACAGACCGGATCGTAATAACGGTTTGGTTTCAGTTACAGGCAAACCAGAACAACCAAGTTGCTAAGTTATCTTGTCCAAAATTTGATTCTCTTCCCAAAATCTTAGCAGCAGTTAAAAAGTAAGTAAGTTGGCAGTGTTTCTCGCAAAAACCCTTCACAGTCACTTCTGTCATTATTCTTGGATGACGAGGGCTTTGCTCAAACATCCATTAGTGAAAAACTAACATTGATTCGGGTGATGTTCAAAATATTTACGGCACCTGCATCGTTTGGTTTGTTCATTGCATCTTACAAACAACACACAACATTGAGCCGTGAATGTTTGAATGATACTATGATTAGGAAGTGCACAATTTTACGACTTCAACCGCTCCGCATTCTTTTCTATAAATCGTGGCTTTTCATTCGTGGAAAACTAAGTTTAGTTATAAAGAAGCTGGCGGTACTTTTAGAAAAATTTGGAATATCACAAATTAACTAACACTCTCCCTTTGATAGTGGTATTTGCGCAGGTTTGCGATGTTAGTGACGTTTTTAGTCTGATTTTAGTTTAAGTGAGTCTAGTAAACTTTGGCGATAATAAATATTAGTTATCAAGTCTGGAATTATTGGTAACGTCAGTCAGTGAATCCATAAAGAGCAAACATATACCCAGCCGTATGTTGTGTATTCGTAGACTTCTACTGCCGGAAGTGGTTTACTGACGTCAGTGAAATGCTGCAATCCGATTGGCGGAGCTATGGACACCGTAGTCAGCCGTCAGTGTTCAGTTTAGTAGCTGGAGGTTGTCTACAAAAAAGTGACGTTTTCTTTTTTTCTGAAATTGCGGAGGAAGATTTAGAATATTTTCTAGATAGATCAATTCGCGAGAAGACTAAAAGAAGGAAATTTAATGTTTAACACCTTTAAACCCCAAGATCATTGTTGAATGAGCCGATGGGTACGCGTATATCGTACGTAACCTTAAGAGCTCTTTTCATTAAAATGGACCTTGTTTGCTCGTATTCAAAGCGGTGTTTCAATATTAAACATGATGTGTGATGTGTCACTTTAACCAAGTGCCCTAAAATTAGAATATCCAACTCTCCGAATCTTAGGATTAAATTAAATCGGCTCAATGCTGTAAAATTTTCAAGAACTATTTCAATTATAAATAATACCATTTCATGTGTATATTTACATGTATAAACACACGAGCTTTATTTCAACTCAAAATTAAGAGCTGATCTCGCCGAGCGAAAAAAAAAAACTTTCAAAAGATACTAACTAAAACTACAATGAATGTCCGTTAGCTGATAACTAATTCTTTGTCAAACACTAAAATAGGCTAAAGTACGGATCTTATTCTTCAATTTCTCTTACTGAGCACAGGTTCCCAAAGGGAATCTATAGTTTTGCTGATAAATAAATGAACGATTGAAATCCATTAGTTTTAGGTCGTGGCTTAGGACTGACATATAAAATATAGTAACTTTTATTGACGGTGTTTAATAGGTTTATAAGCCTTAGTAGCTCGCAGCTAGCAATTAAGCTATTCTGGGCGAGCTACTATTTCTTCGAGAGTATTATCTTATCTAATTAAAAGAGGGAATAAGAGAAAAAAGCAAATTGAATAAATTTGAGTTCAAACAAAATTACACCACGATATTTCCACAAGGTTTCCACGAAGGATGATTTTCAAAGCGGAGGGCAAACATGTCTTTCACTAGTTAAAATAATTTTTTTAAAAGGAGGCTCTTGTGCAGGACAATCAGTATATTATGTAACTGCATGTCGTGTAAGGGCTTGTTTTTAACCTTATCGATTGCAAGTAGCTGACTGTAAGATGAACTAAAATCTTTAAACATAAATCTGATAATTTCTTGTCTGCGTATACGCTTGTTTAAGACTTCTAACTTCAGTATTTCGGGCACCACAAAAATGCCAAACTGCGGGGCAGTACTTACTCAAAGAGCGTTGAGATAAAAGCTCTGTATGATTTTAGGAGTGTCTTTTGAGATCAATTTGCGGAGTCTAGCCATGAAATTAAACTGACTGTTTATCTTTTTTTACATACAGTGAATATCTGATTATTACACACTTTACAAGCACTCTATTTTTCAGTTGCGGCCGGAAAAAGTTTTGGGGATCCGAGAATATTATAAAACGCGATCAAAAAAAGCATTCCCAAAGAAAAGCGATGTAAGCACATGCCTCCTCATACAAAACATCTCGCAGTGTCAAGTTCTCTGATTAACATTTAATCGAACACTGCAGTTCTAAAATGCGAAGCTTTCAGTCACACGCTACAGATGCACAGTTTCCCATGAAAAACGCACAACTTCCAACATGCAGCTAATTATCGTTTTCAGCTGGAAGCTGTTTTCTCTAGATCTGGACAGCAATTCAGATAACATTTTTTGATATAGCGAACTTGGAATTATTGTGGACTACAGTCTTTGGTTTGATTCATATTAAGGTAATTACCAATGAGATTATGAGCTCGAGATTGAACCTAACCTCATCAACTATCTGATCATCTCTTATCATATGGCTAGCTCCGTAAGTGGGCAAGATGAACCGAATCCTGCGTTATGATTAGCTACCCGAGCTATCTTGCCCGCTCGAGATTACCTACTGTGTCCCGCAAGAAAAAAAAAAATTTTTTTTTTCTATATAATAAATCTTTTATTGATAAAGTTTGCTCGCTCCCTAACTGTTCTTCCTACATTTACCGTAAAATAAACCTGCATTCATCGGACACATCTGTCAAGGGGAAGGAAAAGTGACGCCTTGGAGCCGACTGGCTCATAGCTGCCGAAGCTTATCCTGGTTTCTGTAGCATGAAGCGGCTAGGAGTATTTCTACTCCCCCTGAACGGGATGCTAGTCCATCGCAGGTCACTCCCCCGCAATTTGTTAGGATTCTCCAACAATTCGCCCGTACCCATTTTACTCCTGGGTGGAGGGAGGCACTGTGAGAGTTAAGTGTCTTGCCCAAGAACACAACACAGTGTCCCCGGCAAGGGCTTCAACCCGGACCGCTCAATCCGGGGACGAGCACACTAACCATGAGGCCAAGCGGACATGGACAACAATATTATTATTTCACGTGACTGAATATGTTTCAGTTAAAAAAAATAAAAAAATAAAACATTGGGGAATTTCTGAGTATTTGAAGGAAACACAATAGCCTCCACTTGACTTAGAAATATGCTCCGATATTTGTTCTTGGACATTATCTGCTCCGAGAAGCGAATATAGTTTTCCGAGAGCTAACCTCGCTGAAAAACACTGCCGGTTTGCTTCTCTGAGTGGAACAGATGGATAATGTCCGAACACAAGAGACTATGATCTAGATAATAATCTCTTGGCGCGGAGAAATCGAGAGCGAATAATTTAATTGTTTCGATAAATTCTTTCTAAATTTCTGTTATTGCTATATTTTAGCGCGTAAAGTGAACTGACTGATGTCACTGTCCGCCCAGTCCCCTTACGAATTTCTCGGTCAGCGGTTTCTATCATTGGAGTTTGTGTTGGTTGCTATGGCAATGAGACTGTGCAGGAAAAGATTACTGCAGTTAGTAAAATAACAAGCGAGGAACAGCGAAAAAACTTTTAATATTTTATGATAAAAGACCGAAGGTAAGCTTAAATAATTAATAATGGTCGAATACGATTAAATTTTTCTTGTTAGTCCATAAAGTACGTTTTTGCTTGAAGTTTTCCCAGGCAAAAGGTCAACTTAGTCGAACCAATTGTCGAATTAATTTCGTATTATAAATATTGTGTATATTGCACAAGCATAACTCTTTTTAAATCTATATTATTCCCCTAATAAGGACATTGCTATTGAGGACATTGGGTTTTAAAGTAATGAAAATGCTATTAGCACCACGTTTTATATCGATTTCTTAATCTTTCCGTCACTGTATAGTGTAAACACGAGCAGAACCTTGAATAGACGACTGTAAGGTTGTTTGGATTATTGACGTGCAGTTTGTCCATTGCATGTACAAATGCACTTATTGCCTGCAAGAATGAGCAACTCAAATGTGCTTGCTACACGTTATTCAAAGTCACTGTTATCAGGAAAGAAGAAAACTTGCGTGCAGAATCTGCACCCTCGACAACAACGGGGGATTTGGATATAAAATGTGCAGCATGAAATTAAAAGAACTAGTGTCCTTAATACACTGTAACTGTAGTACTTAGTGACTCATTTTGCTAGGTTCCACTACCAGTTCACCAGCACTTATTTCTATTGCAGAGTCCTTGGCATTTATACTCTGTTAAAGACATCTTACTCTAACCAAATGTACATGTTACTATAAAGGGGTACAGTGATTTGGTGAGGGTCACCATAGCAAAAGTGCTGGAAGATAAGGCCTGTTAGGCCTACTTTACACCAGCGACAAAACAACATAATGACACAAACATTAAGCAACATAAGAAAGAGATTATGTCGTTAAGTTATGTAGTGTGAGCATCCTGACACAATGACAAAATAGCAACATAACAGCATGAACATTTATAACGACATAAGAAAAAAAAAACTGATCTTTTTCTTACGTCAGATGTTGATGTTTGATGTCATTATGTCAAAAGCTGCGTGTGATTTGTTTACATCTCTGTATCATTCTCCTTATGTTGCTACATCGTCATGTCATTAGGTCGCTCAAGTGTGACCCAGGCCTAACAAAGCCTTCTACTATTGTGGGCCACTTCATGCGTGCAAACTTTATATGCTTACATGTACATTACTAGTAACATATTCTACCTTTTTACACATACTTATCAGGTATGGGTGCGACAATTTCCAGCCACACCCATGGAACTTCCGTCAGTGAACATGGAAAGGGAAAGTTGGAGTTTACTCCTCAAAATGAAGCACTGTTGAATGATATTGTCAAACAGGTTGAGGCACTTGTCAGTTCACATCCTCGAGAGGCAGAAACCATACTTAAGGAACCTTTCAAATGGCATAGCACTCTTAAACCAGACAGCTTTGGAGAATTGAATTTTGGATCTATGGGATTTCAGATAACGTATGTCTAGATTGATGTTTTTCTGAACTAATTATATAATCCAGCTTTAATCCATGTATTGTGAGACAAGCAGGTCTAGTTGCAGTGACTGCAGACAAAGGTGCATAATCAATTAAGTTAAGAGGTAAATTGCACAGAATGGAACTGCTTGTCTCACAGGTCTATTCAACTAGCAAATCTTGCTGTAAAGTGTGAAGTGTTGACCATTTTTCTTCTTCTCTTTCATAGTCACAGTGATGTTAAATCAGAGGCGAAAACACCAAACGGCGAG